CATTGAATTTTAACCACTGTACCAAACAGGCCCAAAAACAAACTCTAATCAATGAAGTAGGAAACAAAGCTCGTACCAACTAACCAACCAACTAAAATGATGTCTTAACTAAGACCCCTTTTTTTTTAATAATTAACTCGTATCTTTAATCGACCATACTTGTATATTATATGACTTAAATTAAAATCCTCTTATTTCGATTAAAAAAAGATTACTATTAAATTACTTAATTGTTTGACATTGTAAAAATTTAACTTTTATCTTTAACTTCAAATCAAAAATTTTAAATTAATAAAAACAATTCAATTCTTAGATGTCTTCTTGATTATTAATGATATCTTGTACTCCCCCTATTTTATTATTATTATTATTTTTGTAATAAGGAGAAACATATTATAAATACTTAAGATTTGGGGTAACAGACCCCTACAATATCAGCAGTATACAAAAGGTCCACATTAGGTGGACAATCATACAAAATATGAAGACCATAAGAGGAACGAGCCCCTTTTTTTGCCAACGCATCTGCAACCATATTACTCTTCCTCATAACATGCTTCAGTTGAACCCAGGGGAGAGTGCACAAAAGTTCCCTACAATCCAAAATTAGAGTACTGTGAGGGTGGTGAGGATTAAAGGTACCAGATAAAAGAGCATGAGCAACTTGACAGTCAATTTCCACAATAGAATTTTGGATTTGGAGATAATTAGCCATAGAAAGACCATCCCTGATAACCCATAACTCAGCAGCAAGAGAAGTAGTATGGCCAATATTTCTCATAAATCCAACAACCCATTGCCCTTGTGAGTCTCTAATCAAACCACCACATCCTGCATAGCCAAGATTGCCAATAGTAGATCCATCAATGTTGAGTTTAAACCAAGAAGATGGGGGTGGATCCCAAGAAAAAAATCTGGTATGGTGAAGGCGAGCAATACTAGCTTTGTGATTAACAGACCAGAATTCTATGACCCTTTCGATGATCAGATTGCAGATTTTGCTAGTATCCATATCTTGTTGCCAATACAAAAATTGGTTTCTTCGATTCCAAAGGGTCCAAAGAGCAAAACAGAAAATAGCAGCCCAAGGAATGTTGAAGAAAGGGCTAGAAGATCTATTGTTGCAGTGGAGATATAGCCATTGATAAAAGTCCAATACATTATGGTTAGCAGTGAACTCAAAAGATAACCTACTGAGGGTATCAACAGCAGGGGGTAATTAAGAAAGATGTGATCTAAGGATTCAATCTGCCCCTTACAAATTTTACAAAGAGGGTTATCCACAATACCAAGGTGATGAAGATACTCTAAGGATTTAATTCTACCGTGAGTAAAAAGCCATAAGAACATTTGGATTTTTGGAAGAGTTGGGGTCTTCCATATCCAACTCCAGTTTTTATCATTCTGCATACCATGGAAAGTAAAAGTCTTATAGGCAGAAGCTGAAGAAAATATACCGTTAGATTCTTCTCTCCAAGAAAAGTCATCAACTCTAGAATCAGAATGTGACATAGGAATAGTGAGGATTTCAAGAAGCATATCTTGAGGAAAATGGTATCCTATGGTATCCAGATCCAAAACACCTTCTTGTAAGACATCAGCAAGAAGGATACTAGCAGCATTACGAATGAAAGGGCCAAAGAAAATAGACTCAAGAGAGCTCTTGCCAACCCAATGATCAAACCAAAATCGAATAGAATGGCCATTACGAGGAATCCATTTGATACCCAATTTAAATAGTTGGGTTCCCTTAGAAACATTCTTAATCACTGGAGAAGTTGAAGAAGAAGGGGTGTAATGAACATTGTCAATGTTTTACTTTTTAGCTAAGACTTCTGTCCAAATTTTCCCTTTTTCTGTATGGATTCTCCAATTCAATTTACTCATAGCAGTAATATTGGCATTTTTTGTACTGCGAAGTCCAAGGCCGCCATGAGCTTTTGGTTGGCACATAGTATCCCAACCAATAAGGTGTAGCTTGTGTTTGGCATCAACAGAGCCCCATAAGAAATTGTTAGAGATTCTATCAATTTCCTTATGGATTGAGGAAGGGAGCCACATCACTTGCATATAAAAGTTAGGGATGGAAGTAAGGACAGATGAAATAAGAGTAAGTCCACCAGCCATAGAGAAAAATTTTGTTTTCCATCCAGAAAGTTTTGAGCGAATTTTTTCCAAGATAAATTGGCAGTTAGTCTTGGAAATTCTCTTGGGAGAAATGGGGATACCAAGATATTTACCAATCTCATTAGTTTGCTGGTAACTGAGATCTTGGCAAATATTAAGATGGGTGTTCTGGTCAACATTCTTAGAAAAGAGAATTATGGACTTGGAAGTATTAACTTGTTGACTAGATCGAGAGCAGAAGAAATCCAAAGTGTCCTTGAGATAATGACAGTTAGATTGAGAGGCCTTACCTACAAAAATCAAATCATCAGCAAAGAAAAGGTGAGATAAAGTAGGACCTTTCTTACCTGCCTTGGAACCTTTCCATCTTCCAGCAGCCATAGTAGTAGAAATTTTGATAGATAGATATTCCATGCATAAAATAAATAAGTAAGGAGAAATAGGGTCCCCTTGTCGGATGCCTCGAGAAGGGAGGAAACTATTGGTTCTTTCTCCATTAACAAGAATAGAGATAGAAGATGAGGACATACAGCTTAAGATTAGTGAAATAAAGTTAGCAGGTAATTTAAAGAGCATAAGAGCTTCCCTAATAAAGCTCCATTCGAGTCTATCATACGCTTTTTCTAAATCCAACTTCACAATCATGTCACCATCCTTCCCTTTCTTTTTAGAAAAGAAGTACACAAGTTCTTGCAAGATTAGCACATTATCAATACCTTTTCTACCAGGGACAAAACTCGCTTGGCAAGGCAACATAATAGAGTCTAAGACAGGTTTCATTCTATTGACGAGAATTTTAGAAATGATTTTATAAGTGCTATTACACAAGCCAATAGGACGAAACTGATGAACAGTCTCAGGACTTTTTGTTTTATGAATAAGGGTGACTAAGCACTCATTCCACTCAATAGGAATAGTGGCAGAAGCAAAGATGTTTTTGATATCAGTGCAAAGGGTATTTTTAACAGATTCCCACAACTTTTGAAAGAATCCAAGATGAAGACTGTCAGGACCTGGTGCCTTAAAGGATTTCAATCCAAACAAGGCATCATGAATTTCCATGTCATTTGGGATAGCATCCAACATAGATAACTCCCCAAAAGCCATACTAGACACACCAAGATTAGAGAAGGAATCATGGTAAGAGCAGAGCAAGGATGAGGAAAATAGATTCTTAAAATGGTCCTTAATGAGGTTGGTGATAGCCCCTTGATCATTAATCCATTCATCTGTAGAGACTCTAAGGCAATGGATTCGATTATGACTACGATGGCATATAGTAGAGAGATGGAAAAACTTTGAATTACGATCTCCATCCACCATCCAATTAGTCTTGGACTTCATAAACCATAGATCCTCCTCAAGTTTAAGAATTCTTTCATATTCCCAGGTGAGGTCCCTTTCTAAGGTCGTAAGAAAGGTAAAAGGTTTAAGGGAAAGGGATTGATGGATACCAACAAGAGCATTAAGCTCCTTTTTTTTTTTCAAAAATATTTTCAAATGTTTCTCTACTCCAAACTTGGATAGAAGACTGAGTATTTTTTATGCAACGAGCAGTACAAATGCTAGGATTAGACCAAATAGGAGATATCAAGTCTTGAAATTGAGGATGCTCTAACTAGAATTTTTCAAGTTGGAAGGGTTTATTGCTAGTTTTATACTGAGGTGAATCAAACTGGAGAAGGAGTGGATTCTGATCAGAACTAATACAAGGCAAATGGGACAAAATCGCATTAGGGAATTGGAGACGCCAATCAAGATTGGCCCAAGCCCTATTAATACACTCCCTAAGGATTTGATTATTTTCCCTCATATTAACCCAAGTGAATTTCCCTCCAGAGTAACCAATATCCATGAGATTACAATCACTCATGCAATCAGTATAAGCTTGGACACGATACTGGTTAATGGGGGCTCCACCAAATTTCTCAGTTTGATCAATAACATCATTAAAGTCTCCAATAACCAACCATGGGCCACTAAAATGTTTGGCAACCTCTCTTAGTTCATTCCAAAAATGTAAGCGGATATTAAAGGGGCCTACCACACACACTAGAAAGAAACCAATGAAATTTAGAGAGGATGGGGTGAGAGCGTACCTTTACGATAGCATGAATGGCCTGATATGTAGAGGTCACCACATTGATGCAGACATCCTCATCATTCCATAATAGCCAAAGACCTTTAGCTCTTCCTTCGAAGTCAACCACATTGCAATAAGGAAAACCACACTTAGCAGTTGCCTCCCTCGCAATCGAACCAGCTAGCTTTGTTTCCAAGATAAGCATGATAGAAGGAGAGTGCTACCTTTTCAAATCCATAATTCTTCTTTGACATTCCATTTCAACCGCTCTGCGGCAATTTCAAGATAACATCTTCATCATCCAATTAACAATATGTGAGAGATCCAAATCAAACAATGGTTCCTGCGTTACCTTGTGCGACAGCATCATTAACGCATCCAGAAATTGGTATGGAAGCATCATGCATTCGTAGTCCAGCTCCTTCTTGATTTCGAGTGAGACTAAGGTCTTGCCGATGACATGGATCATCTCCATTTTGCACATCATTACAGAAACTTGAAGATGCTTCTCCCATGCCTGAGCTGTGAACTTTAGGAGTTGAGTAAGGGCTAGTTTCCCTTCTGTGTTTGCTCCTTCGAAAGTGGATCCTAGTTTTTGCATGTTACATAGATCTGTCAAAACTGAGGGAACCGCCATCGAAGCTAGCACTGAGCTTAGAAAAGGAGCTGGATTGATAGACTTTAGGGTCAGCATAGGTCTGTGCCATACTTGAAACATCACTTCCTCCTTCCACTGTGGGTGTGTCTTCTTTCCCCATGATAATATCAAATCTAAGGCTTGCTCCAGCGTAGTACATTTCTGTTGTGAAATAGAAGGATTTGAAGGTTTAAACTGACCTGAAAGAAGGTTGTTGTCTCCTGAAGCTACTCCATGCTTAATCTCTAAAGGGAGCTTGGGAGTCTTAGACAAAGTGGGATTTTGCTTAGCAAAACCGGAGCCTTTTTCTAGATTTTTGATTCTATCCTTAACAGTAAGTAAAGAATCTTCTAGGCTGGTGGAAGTTTGAGCAATAGGCTTCAAAGGTCCATTAAGACAATTACTTGGGCCAATAGTTAAGGAAGGCAACTTTACTGGGTTGTTATTCTAGCCCAAATCCTCATTTTGGGTTGTAAGTGGTTCCATCACCTGCTTTCCTTTATCTACACTGGAAATAGCTAGATCTTCCACCAGACCACCATTTGGTTGGATTTGAGAAGGCTTTTCAATGGTCACTCTTGAATTTGTTGATTTAACAAGCTTGAAGAAGGTTTTCACATTTAATGCACCTGCAATTTTGCCATTGGATTTCCCATTCTTGGTTGCATTCTGACTAATTTGGTTAGCTGGCTCTATTTTTCGATTCGATTCCGGTGACGCCAGGCCTTCCTTGGAATTATTGCTTCTCGCCGCCAGTGGTAATTCGGATTGCTGTTTTTGGATTTTTTTTCTTCTTTTTTTTCCTCTCCACAATGAGCCATGGGCCAAACTCATCAAGTTGATTGTCACTTCTAAGCTCTAATCTTGTTATCTAACCTGGAGATTGGTTCTGATCCACAACCTGATATCCTCCTATATTACCTATAGGATTTAAATTCTCCACACTATTTGAGCCAACGAGTGGATTACCCATAGTGTCATTAATGATAGATTGTGAATAGACTTCACAATTTGTGCCATATGTGGTTGTTGTAGAAGCAAATTTAAATTTACATGCATCTTTGCGATGCCCAATCCTTCCGCAAGCAAAACAAAGACCCCTAATTCCTTCATAAAGGACTTTTTGTCAAATTTTTTCTAATTGAACAAGTTTCACAAGAGGTTTGTTTAGATCAACTCTAACACACACCCGAGCATATTAGCCATGCGTATGGTGAGCCGTGTGGGTGTCCACACGAAGGAGATGCCCAATGGAGTTACCAATTCGTTGAAGTGAGTTGGAGTCATAATATTCAGCAGATAAACCTGGTAATTGGGCCCAAACCACTATGTGAGAAAAGGTGGCACTTTCAGGCTTGAAATTTGGTTCCCAAGGTCTGATAATAAGGTAAGAAGTACCTACAAACTAAGGTCCTCCATTGATCACCTTGTTAAGATCTTCCTACACCTGAAATCAAACAAGAAAATAGTCATAACCCAAATCAATGCAATCCCATTTACCTATGGGTTTCCATTGAGCTTTAATGCTTCCATAAAGGAAATTGTATCCCACTGTCTTGCCGAAAGTCTTGATGATAAGAGCTTTTGTCCATGGTTCCCTCATTCGTCTTTTTTCCTCTTTTGAAAAGAGGATAACAGGGTTTGGGTCCTCTGGGTCATCATCCACATCTAAACCTTCATCAAGATAATCAAGAATAGCATCAAATGAGAGGTCATCACTAGAGTTCTCCACAACTCCATCCACAAGGAGTTTATCCTTGTAGGACGGGGCAGTGGTTGCAGCTTCCTCCATGCTTTCTTCCTTTGAGAGGGAAGCATGAGTCGCATTTGAATCCTAAATTCATTTCACGCTTCGAGCTAGCAAATCGTTCTCTTGAGAAGAGGAGAAAGTTAGAAAGGGAAAGATAGCGTTTGCCATTTTTCTTTTTTGATTATCACTCCCCCTATTTTAATTTATACAACGTTGAGGGAGATTTCACACATAAGTCTCTAAGAGGATGTTTCGGCGACAAATAATTGGAATAATTAGAGGTCTTTAATTTAAATTTTAAAATGGGTGCGCAAGGATTTGGAAAAAATAACTATTTTTTATTATATAATTTATTATTTAGTGTATTAAAAAATATTTTTAATTTATCCTATACTTTTAATGTACATGTTAAAAGTATAATTAAATGTACTTTTTATAATTAATTTCTATTAAAAGTGTAAATATTGAGTTTGTTTTAATTAATTAACCAATTAAAATTATTCATATGTTAATGGTTAAAATAAATGTCAACTTTTACAAATTTTTATGTGAATTAATTAAAAAAAAGTTTATTGCACTCTTAATCTGTACCTTGCGAGTGTAGGTTAGACAAATTCTTTAAAAAAAAAAAAAGAGATTTCAAACGTATTAAAAACTATATTTAATATAGGACGATGATTGACACACATGGTAATTCCTCACCCTTCGTTACACATTCTCACTCCATTTCTTAATCCGTTAACTTCGTTTCTTAATCTGTTAACTTCGTTATTTAATCTGTTAGCTTTGAAGATACCCAACGGTGGTGAGTTCTTGCTTTCCTTACTCTAGAAGCCACCAATGTAGTCGCAACAGCAGCAACAATCTTCATTATTCTAAACAATACCTCAACAATAGCCACTGTCGCTCCAACAGTAGGTTGCTTTGGATCTTGTCGTTGCAACTGTGGGTCCCTCCCTTCCTTTTCCGCCACCTTGGCCATTCAGTAGAACCCAGATCGGGTTTTGCAACAGAACCCAAATTCGAGAACCCTGACCGTTTCTCCTAGAGAACTTGATTTGGGTTCTCCAAAATCCAAACCTGGGTTCTCTTGGAGGAGGATGATGGAGGAGGATGATGGAGGAGAGAGAGAGAGAGAGAGAGAGAGAAAAAAAAAAAGAAGAAGAAGAAAGAAAGGGGAAGAAGAGGATGGTAACAGAGTTAAGTGTAAATCTACTGTGACTTTTGCATCTTTTAGAAAAAAAACAATATGAAAAAAATTATCGAATACACATATATTTAAAAACATTATACGACTACACGAAAACTCTCAACTGCAATCCCAAACACATCCTTAAGCTGTTAAGTTAGAGAGTTTATATTAATGATTGTTTCCTCATTTAATAATTCTTATTTTACCTTCCAAACTTCAAATACAATCCAAATTGCAAAACAAGACACTCTTGAATATATTGTCCGTTCTCAGTGATCATCCCTTAACTCAAAGGCACATGTCAACGACTTAAATAATTTAGTGGTCATCTCCTTCTGCCAGAAGTAAGAAGTCTTGAATTTGAGTCGCATGGTATACGAGTGGGGTGGGATAAGGGATGCGAGATAATTCCCTCCCATTGTGCAATCAAGATAAAAAAAAAAAAAAACTCAAAGCACATTCTAAATGTATAATTAATATACCTTTTAGCTATTAAATCATATATAAACAAAAATAAAGTTGATATTAATTTTAGAATCAATATCGTGTGTATTAATATAATTAGTTAGTTGTTAAAATTAAAGTTAAACTTAATTTTTTTTAGAATTTTTTGAAGGGCATGAGTTAATTACATATTTTTATCATAAATATATATAAAAAATATGAAAATTGACATTAATTTTTGTGGAAGTGCCAAGTGCATGTGAAACTTAACATAAGGTCATGCCGTACCTCACAATTTTGATCACAATAGATCCCTTGGCTGTGCTTTTGTAGTGCCCTTGTAGTATAGATTCGTAGTACCCTTGTACTTCATAAATAATTAAATTTTATGTTTTGTTGTTTAAAAAAAAAGAAAATGTTTAATTAAATAATTAATAAATTAAAAGTTAATTTTTATTTTTTAATAAAAAATTATATCAAATATATATTTATTACATTCTTACTCTGTAACCTTAAAATATTGATTAAAAAAATCATTTCTTTTATATAACTTAAAAACTAAAAGATACATTAATAGCATCCTTAATATGTGACTTTCTAGAAAAACCCTAAAATTTATTAGTACAATGAAGAATTAATGAACGGATTAACTCAGAAAATCAAAATAAAAAATGAAGTGATTAACCCTGCCTTGAGCATACTTCATCAGATATAATGACACTAAAAAATGTAAAACATCTGAAAAAATAGGAAATTTTTTTAATTTGTGCCTTAAAAAATAAGTTAAGAGCATATTTATTATATCTTTTTATTATTAATTTATATAAAAGAAGTTAATTTTAATTTTATTAATTATTTAATTAAAATATTTTAGGTGTGTTGAGAATATAGTTGATTTTAGTAATTTTTTATATAAATTATTAATAAAAAAGTACAATAAAATGTAGTCTAGGTAAATATCAAATTTAGTCCCTAAACTTTATCATAAATAATAAATATTGTCCCAGCTTTTTATTTTGATAAAAAATGGTCCCCCACCTTTGCAAAATTACCAAAGTTAATCCAATCGTTAGTAATTTCAATTAAAAATTCATTATAAAAAATTCTAATTAAAATTTTGAAAAGCCACCCAAACTCTTAAATAAAAAAATAAAACCTCCAAACCAATTTTTTTCCAACACCAAACTTATATCTCATTTTCTTTAATATTGCTAAATTCTATATTTTTTGTTTTTTGAAAACTCCAAAAATCGTTTTTTTTTTCGCCTTTTACTTAATGCAAAGCCCTTACTTCAATCATAGAAACTATCAATATAACTTAATAATTTAACAATATAATGTATTTCATAATCCAAATAATTTTCAATTGCAAATTATTTATATTTCAAATTACTGTTTTATATTAAAATCCATATCAAGTTATAGGATTACAGCCTGCAACATATACATAAGCCATTATATGTGTTTACACCTAAAATAAACCAATAGGGTAAGGCCTTACCCTATTGGTTTATTTTAGGTGTAAACAATATGTAAAGTAAAAAAAATTCTCAAACATTTTTCAAAAAAGAAGAGTTAAGGTGTGTAAAGACTCCAAAATTTAGTAAAAATGAAAGGTTGGGATAATATCTAGTTTTTTTTGGTAAAAATTGAGGATTAAATCCAGTATTTTCCCATATACTCTTAATACGTTCTTTTAAACTATAAATTAAAAAAATTAAAAATATAGTGTAATTTAAACTGCATGAAATTGCACTACACTAATAGTTAGACAAAATGAGTCCCCAAATATTATGAGCCCTCTTCTTTATCTAATGATCTTTATTATAAAGTGTAGTACAATTTGAAGCCTGAAACAAAGAAAGAACTTGTTTCACATGTTAGAAAACAATTATCAGTGGTTGGGTTTAATTAAATAATTTAAATATTTTATATTACAAATAATAATAATTATTAATTATTAGTTATTAATTATCAGTTATTAATTATATCAATACTACCGATCCAAGCAACCCCAAAATTTCATTTCAAAAAAATTCAAAAAATAAACTTGCACATGGGTTGAAGCAAAGAATTTCCCTAGTTTTGGGTCATTAACAGAGGAGGCAAAAGCAGATGATTAGGAGCCTAGAGAAAGACACCCAATCCCACATCACAACCGCCACCTGTCCTCACACACTTAACTCTCCTCCTTGGTTAACCATGTCCATCGTCCCAACCTTGGTTCACACGCACTCTCTCCAGAAACTGGTCCCCTGTTTTTTTTCTCTTTCTCATTAGTACCACCACACCACAGTCTCCCCAGCCCCGCCCGTATACATTCCTCTCTCTATATATATCTTCCTTGTTACGTCTCTCGTAAAATTATACTCTCTTCTCTTCTTTCCTTTCTTTCCTTCACTTTCTCTCTCTTTCTTGTCATCCAATCAATATTTCAGAGTTGCAGGAGAAGCAATCGTCATGGATTTCGTTATTTAACGGTCTTTTCATCTACCCATTTTGCCCTTTTCCTCCTCCCAGTAATGATTTTATAGGAAAGATTAGATCTTTGGGGTTTCAAAGTTTTAATCTTTGCTAACAAAAAAATCTTTCCTTTTTTTGTGAAAAATGATTTCTTGGAAGGATCTGTACACCGTCTTGACGGCGGTGATTCCGCTGTATGTGGCGATGATTTTGGCATATGGGTCGGTGCGCTGGTGGAAGATTTTCTCGCCGGACCAGTGCTCCGGCATCAACCGTTTCGTCGCCATATTCGCGGTCCCGCTCTTGTCTTTCCACTTTATTTCCACCAACAATCCGTACAAAATGAATTACAGGTTCATTGCCGCCGATACGCTTCAGAAGATTATCATGCTCGTCTTCCTGACGGTGTGGACGAATTTCACTAGGAACGGAAGCTTGGAATGGATGATAACCATTTTCTCACTCTCTACTCTGCCCAATACTCTGGTCATGGGCATTCCACTGTTGATCGCCATGTACGGCCATGACTCCGGCAGCCTCATGGTCCAGGTGGTGGTTCTCCAGTGCATCATCTGGTACACTCTGCTTCTTTTTCTCTTCGAGTACCGTGGTGCCAAGATCCTGATCATGGAGCAGTTTCCGGAGACTGCAGCCTCGATTGTCTCGTTCAAGGTGGATTCCGACGTTGTCTCGCTCGACGGACGGGATTTTCTGGAAACCGACGCTGAAATTGGAGAAGACGGGAAGCTTCACGTCACTTTGAGGAAATCAAACGCTTCTCGCCGTTCCTTCGCAATGACGCCACGGCCGTCCAATCTTACCGGTGCTGAGATATACAGCTTAAGCTCATCTCGGAATCCAACGCCCAGAGGTTCGAATTTCAACAATTCCGATTTCTATTCCATGATGGGAATTCAGGGGTTTCCAGGTAGACAGTCCAACTTTGGCCCGAACGATTTATACTCTGTTCAATCATCAAGAGGGCCGACTCCGAGACCCTCAAATTTTGAAGAAAATTGTACAGTAATGTCTCCGAGATTCGGGTTTTATCCAGCACAGACGGTACCCACGTCGTACCCTGCACCAAATCCGGAGTTTTCTTCGGTGATGAAGAACAATAAAAACAGCCAGCCGCCCCCGCAACAACCACAAACTCAACCACAGCAGCAGCAGCAGCAGCAGCAAATGAAGGAGAATAGTAAAATGAATCATGACGCGAAAGAACTCCACATGTTCGTGTGGAGCTCGAGTGCGTCGCCTGTATCGGAATCAGGTGGGCTTCAGGTCTTCGGCGGGACAGATTTTGGCGCATCGGAACATTCCGGGAGGTCTGATCAAGGGGCGAAGGAGATCAGGATGTTGGTCTCTGATCACCCCCAAAATGGGGAAATCAAAGGTACAGAACTCAAAGTTTGTGACTGTTCAACAATCATTACAATGTTTCTATATTTGATCAAATTTTATGTTTCTAAATTCGTTAGCTATTCCGGTGAGTGACTTTGGTGGGGAAGAATTCAGCTTTGAAGGAAAAGAAGGGGAGGAGGAAAAGGAAAAGGAAGGACCCATTGGACTCAACAAACTAGGCTCAAATTCAACAGCTGAGCTGCACCCTAAAGCTGCCGGAGGAGGGGAATCCAATGCCGGGAAACAAATGCCTCCGGCTAGTGTCATGACCCGTTTGATCCTGATCATGGTCTGGCGCAAGCTCATCCGCAACCCCAACACATACTCCAGTCTCGTTGGTGTTGTGTGGTCTCTTATTGCTTTTAGGTACCACTGTAGATAATGTCTTTTATGGAACCGGTTTAATTTTATTTTAATATTTGATTGTTTTGGGTGAGAATTGAATTGCAGGTGGGATGTTCATATGCCAAAAATAATACACGGTTCCATCTCCATCCTGTCTGATGCTGGACTAGGAATGGCTATGTTCAGCTTAGGTGAGCATCTAATTTATTGTTTTTACTTTGTAAAATTCTGGGTATCTCTGAAAATTTGCAGAGGCAATTTGGGTTCTTACTGTAGAAACGTACTGGGACAATAACTCGACCACCTAAAGGTGTGGTAGGGCCAGCATTTTGGTAGTGATGGGTACCTTTGTCTAAAGCAAATGGTCATGAGTGCACAGCTCACAACCATGCACCAAAAGCTAATCTTTTTGAACCTAAAATCCAATTGACCACCCGACATGTGGGGTCGGGGGTCAGGCTGCAACACCAGTTGTGGTCCTGGGTCGGTGGATACTATTTTCTGTTATTGAAGGTGGTTAGCATTTGAATTGAAAAAGATTATATATATTAAACCCTAATTATTTTGGTTGATATAAAAGGTCTGTTTATGGCTCTGCAACCGAGGATAATCGCCTGTGGAAACTCCGTCGCCGCCTTCGCCATGGCGGTAAGGTTCTTGACCGGACCGGCGGTGATGGCTGCCGCTTCCGTTGCTATTGGATTAAGGGGTACCCTCCTTCGCGTTGCTATTGTCCAGGTATAATAATACACAAAACTTTACCTTTCATCATCATAAATTTTGGCATTCCAAGTGCGTGGCGCAACCATTACTTGATTGCTTTTTGGACAGATCGTGATTTACAACTCATGTTTTAAGTTCAATATTTTTTTTTATATATTAATACTTCTAACACACTAATACTTTTAAGTATTATTTTTTTCAAAAAAAAAAAAAATCATCATAAATTTTGATTCTCTGAGTACAATAAGCAAGTTTCCCTATTTTTGGCTAACATTATTTGTTCTGTCCAACAGGCTGCATTACCACAAGGAATTGTACCTTTTGTGTTTGCCAAAGAGTACAACGTCCATCCTCAAATTCTAAGCACTGGGTAAGTACACTTTCCTTTTATTTTTTAAACAAGGGTACTTTTTTTTTTTAAAAAGCTTACCGAGTTAGTGACCCAGTAATTTAATGTAAAGTTTATTCATTGTGACAAAGGTTTTATCCTTTTCTTCACCTCACCCTCTCTTCCACGAACCATTTGCCCTTATCAAAAAAAAAAAAAAAAAAAAAGGGTACTTTTCTACTAAACGTTTAAGGGGTTTGAAAAAGAATAGCTTGGGGTTAAAGTTCAAACCTCTGTGTTCTCACTTGAGGTGTAAGGTAGTGTCACTCCATCCCCCACGTGGAGAACACTGGCTAAGTACACATGATTTAGATGGAGGAATTAAGAGGAATTAAAATTAATAAGGGTTTGTCTAATAAACCTTATTAATTATAATATTATTAATTAATTTTGTATAATTTTTTATATTATATTTATAATTTTTTTTATAAATTTTGAAAATAAATATTATATTTTATATTTTATTTTAATTAAATTTAATATAAAAATTTATATAAAATTAATTTCAAATATTACAATTAATGAAGTTTAAATTGTGTCATTAGAAAATTCCAATTAATAATATGCTTGTGGGGTAGTCTTTGGGATAAAGTGGTACTACTCCATCCAATGCTAATTTTTTCTCATTCAAATTTTGCAGGGTAATCTTTGGGATGTTGATAGCATTACCAATTACACTTGTGTACTACATTCTTCTTGGATTGTGAATTTTCTTATAGGATGGTTGCGGGTTAATTATAATGGAAGAAGAGGTATTGACGGCAGAGGTTCCATTATGTTCTTATAACTTGAGGGTCTTCCTGCAAAGAAGATTTTAGGGTAAAAGAAGTCCCAAAATTTTGAAACTTAAAAGAAAATATTGAAATGGTGAATTGCCTCATTATATAGAGGGTGATGCGCCCAAAACCCAAAATCAGAGAGCTTTGAGATGATGAAAAGGGGGCCAAGGAGTAGCATAAAGGGAGGCATTAGGGAGGAAAACAGGGGAAAGAAGAAGTGTTGATGTAAAGTTGGTTCTCAAACTCCATCTCTACCATTACTAAGAGACAAGGGATGTGATTAATCAAATGGAGGAGAAAAAGGGTTTTGTTATTATTTTTTTTTCCAATTTTTAATTCCCTCTTTTTTAGTGTTGAATTTGATTGTCCATAGAACCGGCAATTATTTGTGTTTGTCGTTTTGCTTTGGTTTGTAACTTTCTATAGGGTCCTACAATGGTCAAGAAATTGAAAGAGAAATATTTAATCAATTGACGACCCTTTGTTAACACGAAGATTGGCGATGTATTTTATTCTCATTTGGATAATATAGTTTTTATTTATTTTTTTTCTTGAACATGGGTAAAATTTATTAATCAAATATAGCAAATCAATGAAAGTTTCTTATCTTATAGATAAGTACTTACAATAATATATAATATATTGAGCATTAACAGAGATATATAATATGAGTAAATTAAGTTAAATCACATTCAAATGTAAAAAGAAAGGTGATAACTAGATCATATAAATTAACCTCTGAAAAAAGTTAACTATGACATATTTTTAATTGAAGATTTCAATATCACGAGATACTTTTCAATCTACTCTTGAGATGGTATAATCTATGTGATGTTGTGAGTTAGAGGACCCATTCTAATAGCATATCCAACTTCCATCTTCATGGCAATCCGAAACTTTGCAATCCATTTCATTGTTTTGATCACCTTCTGAAATTGGCAATTTTTATTAAGTTCTAATTTTCTATGATTAACACTTTCGCAAAAAAAGGCAAAAAAGAAAGAGAGAAAAATACTACACATAAAAAGCTTATGGAAAAAGCCACATGAATAGGCCATGTTTGGTTTGATTATTAAGGAATAACTAATTCGTTGTTTTATCTAAGTTAAATTGAATGAATAGAGATATTTGAATTATAGATAATAATAATTATTAATCATTTATTGTTAACTATGAATTGTTTCAAAAAAGTTAAATCAAGGTTATATCCCCGATTCAGTCCCTCAACTTTCATTTTTGAACTAAAACTATCCTCGAACTTCAAAAAGTACTAAAAAAATCCTTGAACTTCAATTTTTAGGACCAATTTCGTCCTTTCGTCCGTTAAGTGCTGACATGGCAACATTTTCCGTTAACAAATTCCATTTTTATTAATATTAAATATTATCTGAAAATAAAATGAGTGATGTGGCATTTTTAATTATAAAAATATTGTGATTTGGATAAATTTTTTTTTTTTCTTTCCTTTCCTTTCTTTTTCTCCTTCTCTTTCCTTTTCTCCTTCCCCTCCCCTACTGGGTTCGAAGGAACCCAGCACGCCTGGGTTCGATGGAACCCAGGCGCGAGTTCCATGGAACCCAGGCCCTGGGTTCCATGGAACCCAGGACGCCTGGGTTCGAGGAACCCAGGACGCCTGGGTTCGAACGTTCCTCGAACCCAGGCGCTGGGTTTCGAACCCTGGGTTCGAACGTTCCTCGAACCCAGGCGTCCTGGGTTCGAACGTTCCTCGAACCCAGGCGGCCTGGGTTCGTTCGAACCCAGCACGCCTGGGTTCGAACGTTCCTCGTCCTGGGTTCGAACGTTCCTCGAACCCAGGCGCTGGGTTTCGAACCCAGCGCCTGGGTTTGAGTCGAAGCCGCTGGGTTTTTTCGTTCTGTTTCTTTGTTGGCTTGCAGTCATGCTTGAATGGGATTTAGAGTTTGGTGTGGTTTCTGATTGCTTGTCATGCTTGAATGAGATTTAGAGTTTGGTGTGGTTTCTGATTGCTTGAATTTCCAGATCTAGTTGATGTTGATTGAAGGAATGTGGTGTTTTTTTCATTTTTCTTTGCAGATCTGCTATACATTTGTAGAGGAATTGATTTTTTGAATCAGATTTATTGAGTTCTATTAGGGAGGAGGTTTGGGGAAGAAGTAGATGGTGATTGGAGTGGTAATAGATGATCGGAGCAATGAGGGATGACCGGAGGGATGACGGGAGGGATGATCGGAGAGATGACCGGAGTAATGAGGGATGATCGGAGTAATGAAGGATGACGTGGATTAGTTATTTTCCACGTAATTAAAGATTTCAAACAAGAATGGATTTTGTGGCAACTTAACGTGCCATCTGTCATTTCCGTCGACGGAATGACGAAATTGGTCCCAAAAATTGAAGTTCAAGGATTTTTTTAGTACTTTTTGAAGTTCGAGGGTAGTTTTAGTTCAAAAATGAAAGTTGAGGGACTGAATCGGGGATATAACCTTAAATCAAATAAGATAAATAAAAAAACTTTAAAAACTATTTAAATATGTTGTATAATAAAAAATAATCACGTCTTTTCACAATCTAAATTGCTAGGTTAACATTCCCAACTTTTAATCCTTGAAACATCTATAAATGTCCGTCCTTTACTAATGACATTGCTAGGTTAACATTCCCAACTTTTAATCCTTGAAACATATATAAGGGTCTGTCTTTTACGAATGATATATCTCCAATAAGCTTCTGCTCAAAAAAAGAAAAAAGAAAAAAGAAAAAAAGCAGTAACAATTAAGTAAAGTTGAGCGAATGAAGGAT